CATGTCACTCACTTAAATACCTGGCCTTTGGAGAGAAGCGTTGTGAGAGTAATGGGTCTTACTTAATCCAGAATCCCACCAAACAAGAAACCACTCCACTTCTCCCATGGTACTTATGTAAGCCATTGACAATGAGGTTTTCAGAGGTTTAGGTTAAAACTCAAATGGCAAAATCTGCTAAAAACAGCAAGATTGATCAAATGGGCTCCAGATAACAAACTAGGTGAGTACACTTTCTTCATTTTATTGAAAGTAGGACAAATCTATCCTTTATATGCATTTGAATTTATCGTTATTTCGAACTCCATACAATGTCTTATAGAGCACTCAAATTCACATCAGTCAGCATTGTAACACAACATCGCTTACTTCAAAGAGCCACACCCTACTCGCAACGTTCAAATAAATTATTAATTACTTCAATTTGTATTGTGCATTTGGGCTGCCTGTAGTTAAACAAGTTTCATGGTCACAATCAATTTTATATTATCTAATGTGTGGTTAATACCATATACAAGATAAAAGATAATTTTAATTCAGTACTATTTGCATACAAATTTAATTTTTTTTTTTTCTTTTTCCTTATGTTTGATTTTCGAAAATATGGTTATAACATACGAACAAATCTAAAGCCAATATAACAATTTGTACAGTCAAGTAAAAGGCTGGTTACATCTTGCATAAACATTTGTTTTTAAGATGACTATCCAAGAATGATCTTTTGATCATCCAAAGAGGCATAAACAGCAGTTTAGGGGGTAAACGATAAAAACGAAAATAAATTATTTTTTTTTAATTCATTGCCTAATCTACCAGTTCAAAGTCTAGTAAAACTTTGCTTAAAAACCTTTCTCAACATATGTGTTGCTTAATTTGCTATTCAGTAAACAAGGTAGCTTCCTGGGAAAGTTATACCAAAGCAACAATTTGCAAATTAGTGGGAATACTTGAAATTCATGTGAAAAGTCAAGAGTTTCTAAATGCACTCACCTGTCAATTACAATTGATTTTCCTTATCATATTTCTTGGTATAACTAGCTCAATGTTCACGTAATGAATTTACTCAGATGGTAAACAGCACAGCAATTGGAAAGCGAGTTAAGTAAAATTTTACATTTTTATCGCCGATCGTTAATTTTATGAACGAAAATAAAGCCCTTGAAAATTAATTATCCATCGAAAATGGGCGACCTAGATGGCCCTCAATCAATTCATGATTTTTTTTTTCGTGAAAACCTTCCTGAGTTGATATTAAAATTCTCTTTTGTTTATATTTAAAGCTTTCGGAAAGTGGCTCAAAATGTTCAGTTCAAACACAAATCGCATACAAAACTTGACAGGTATTCACGAAAACATCAAAATCTTGATATTTAAATGCCGCATGTGACAATCGACGGCGAATAAGAAGGTATTTTTTATTATTTGATATGTACCTACGCGAGAGAGATTTCGCCACATGTACAACCTTCAGTTACTCAGCAATTTAAATCATTAATTTCTGGCTTACGACAAACAGAATCATAAACACAACATGAAAAACCGGGCATATCACCTTTTGCATTATTTTTTGAGATTCATTTTCTAATTTTGTTTTTTCAATCCAGTACTTAAAGTTAATCCAGGCGAAATATAAATCGTTTGGTTACAGAAGCCATATTAGTAACAGGATTCAGGACAGCCTTTCGAAGTATTTTACTTTCTGGCAATAGAATATAAACTTGATATTGCGAACGTGAAAAATCAAAACTTCACTTGTTCGCAGCCATAAATGTTTTGTAAACAACACAGAATATTCCCCTCTTGCATTTTCCGCAGGTTCGAGTAAAACGTAGCACAAAAACAGCTTAAACCTGTACGAATGCACAGTAATTATTCGAGGGTTTCCGAATTCTGAAATGTAAACAAAGGTGTCGCGAGCTCTGTTGCTCTTCACGTTGAATTCCTACGATACCAAACACGAAAGTTTTCATTTAACACGGGACTATCTCTGTCAAAAAGCTACAATCGCGGTTAGAGAAATTTTCAATAACAAAAGAATAAAATGAATTCATTTCCAGAACGAGATTTATCCGAGAGAACTAAAGTCGTTGACTGGTGTGAGTTCAATCTCCAAACTTCTGTTCCACACGCCATCATAAGAAAGTAACCCATACTATCGGTACCTAACCGCTCTGACAGCTCGATATTAAAGCAAGAAAACCACAAACTGACTAAACGATAAAGACGATGCAAACATACAAACACATCTACCGTGCATGATAGGTAAACGAACCCGGACGCTTCACAAAATGAAAATTATGTACACATGTTTTGCTATATATCTCTTTCTCACTTTCTCTCTCACAACCACAACTACAGGTAAGACTGAAGCGGTGTGCATTACAATAATTTCTCAACGGCTTTGAAGGAAAAAAATAAAACAATTATCTTAATTGCACTAAACTTTCCACTCCGCCACGACCCACGATCTATTCCAATTTGCCGACAAAGCAATATTTGAACGAAGTTAGATAAAAATACCTACCTTCGGAACACCTCCTGGCCTAACTTCGCTAACATAGCATAGATCCAGACAATTCGCTTCCTATTGTGTTAAGAAAAGAAGGTGAGGTAACCAGAGTATCGGGCAAGAATCTTAAATATTTCATTGACACAAGTAAGGATTTCCCAAAACATTATGTCGCGCGCCAAAGGCCATCATTCCTCGGCACAGCCGGCTCGCGGAATTTTTCAAAACGGCTGTAGCAAGTGAACAAACAATTATTTGACCAACCTTGTCGTCTTCTCTCCAGGCCAAAAAGAATCCATATTTGTCGACACTGAAAAACAGTCCTTGACTCGCGTTGGACTCCTGGGAAACGAAAGAGCTCAAACTTCAGAACTTTAATAAACACCATTGCTAGTGAAAGGTACGAGATCCCTAGTGTGAAATGCACTTGTGAAGCTTCACCACATAAACTGATTCTTTGACTTTTTTCACCACACAGAATCGTGTACGAGTTAAACACGCTGAGCGATCTATTTACCTCTTCCCATCTTGTTAATAGCGTCCCACTTTGAAGCAAACTAGGGACGAACACGTCCCAGGAGATCCGAGGAGTCGCCATACCACTTACGCGAAAACCCGCATTTGAGAGATCGCTGAGACGACATAACACATAGCCCAAAGATGCTTTAAAGTGCTCTTTTTCGACGTAAAATCATACTCTCTTGTCTCTTTTACGCTGACCTCTGATAAGCCTGTTATTGTATCGTCATGTCAAGAACTGAGTTACGAAAGAACCACAGCTAACCGAACTAAACACGAACCAAGACCACTCTTGTTTTCTTGCGTTACAGAAGAATCTGCGCCTTCCGTCTCAACGACCAATCACAAGAGTGGTAAGCCTGTCAATCAATTCACAGCCTTTCGCCGCCTATGAAGACAGCTGCCCTTTTCGTTACGCGAGGAATGTCTTTGATCAAGCCAAACAGTCAGTTGTTTTACAAAAGAACTCTGGTTGTTAATAAAGAAAAAAATAAAAGAATTGTCATAACTCACAAGACAATTCCTGGGAGTACATTTAAGAGCATAGTTTTAGAATACTCGAAAGAATATTCGCAAAACACAGCAGCGGTTCACAACGGAAACTTGAGGAAACCCAGGAACGGAAACCAACTATGATTTTTTTTCGGAACAAAAAACAATTTCTCACCTTCTTTTTAAGGTATATGAATTTACAGAACCTATAATCTAAAGCGGAAATCAATTGCATCTAAGCAAAAAGCAGAAAATTATAAACACCAGAGAAGGAATGTCATAACATCTTGTTCAAGTTTCCCCAATTTTGTGTCTTTTTAATTCGAGGGAGCAAGGTGTTTTCTTTGGAAATAATTTACTTGCCCAAAAACTTAAAATGTGTGTACCAAGAAGAAAATTCGGAGATTCAATTTTTTGTAATATCGTAGTGGTATTTTACTTCAAGTAACAAATTTGAATATTTTTAAAGGAAGCTAATTCTCTTGACTGTATGGCACAGGATTTAATAGGATTTCAAACACTGATAAATACAAATGACTACGCCGATATTGTAAATGATGAGAAAAGAAAAAGATCAGTCAGACGGAATCGGTGATCAATTTGGTACACAAAAACCTACATCGAGGATGGAAAGATTTTCGATGTAGGTGATCTGTAACTCGAATAGGACTCTAATAAAATGTAATATAACTGTAATTTGCATTTCCAGCAACTCCTTGTCATAAAATATAAACAAGCTTAGACAAACGGCCAAGACGGAAAACTGAGCGATAGAAATTCCAGCTGTAGTCTCATCATTGGAAAGTAACTATATATATCACTCCAATAAAAAAAACTCAATATTCTTTAAGTGTAATTTACATTTCCAGCGACTCTTTCTTATTAATATGAACAAGCTTACAGACAAACCCAGTCTGAAAATAAAGCTATAGAAATTCCAGCTGTGTTCACATGGTTGGAAACTAAAAGTGTATACATTGAGTCTTTTGTGAACTCACAGTTGAACTGGGCTTCGATCAAGGAGGACTGGAAGTGCCCATTTGAAAAATTAAGATTTGAAAAGATTTCATAGTCCAGCATTGCAATAATTCCGGATTAGGAGCGATCCGAGTTTGATCGTTAGTTGCGGGTTATTGTGATCTGTCATCGAGATAAACCACTTGGCTCTCACAGTGCATACCCTCAGAACTCCCCCCCCCCCCGGAACATATAAATGATCACTGGCGAAATGTTAAGTCAATGCTTCAAAATGCTGGGGGAAAGTTAGGCGCTAGCCTCTAATGGGAAAACCCCTTTATCAGCGCACAAACCGGATAAACCTCGGGTAGGGGTAGCACGAGGCGATTTCTGACTTTCGCACCGGACGGAACAGAAACTGCCAAGATAACAACAGTTTTTACTTTAGTAACAGATGGCTCTGAAACAATTCTGACTTTCAAAAGCCCGAAACACAGACAATATAACTGAATAATGTATGCCGTGTTAAAATCTTTATCAGCAAATCTATATGAATTGATATCACTCAATTTATGCGATATTTTTCTTTTCCTAACATGCACTCTGCGAAACCAAAGTTTTAGGGCAAATTTCGAGATCAACAACAGAAGCATTTATATTCCGGCATAGCAAAAGGGTCTGCCCTCAAAATTTAACACTACGTGCTGTTTGGACAAAATTTTGGAGTAGTCTTTGGGCTGGAAGATAAACAAAATGGCGTGCAATGACGAAGTTGGCATACAATTATATAATTATTTGCAAAAGTTGACTGCGACATAATTGAGAAAATAATTGCAAATGCAAATACAAACAGCGGTTTTTTTGTTTTCGGTGCTGTGTACGCTTCGAGAACAGGTCGAATAACATAAGTATAATATCAGTATCGTCTCGGCCGGGAAATGGCGATTCCCAGGGTAAGTAAAGGAGGAAATTAAAGGAAGGAACTCTTTGCACGAGAAGTTTCCCATCTCTATTTTCTGCCGGACAGACGTCCAGGTATTGACACCTGACTGGCAGACACTGAGCAGGTTGTTCGCTGGAAACGTTTCAAAGCGCCAAGGATAGCGAAAGCTAAAGGTTTAGCTGTTAAGGCTACGTGACTTGGTTTTTGACTGGCTAAGCACGAGAAGATAACAAACATGACGACTAAGACTGAAATAACAAGGAAAGCCATAAGGTGATTAGATTACTGATGGAGAGGGGACTGTATGAATTAAAGCTGCTCGATATTTTTCTCCTTTACAGGCCTCCAGATCTTTTTTTGGATTCCGGCAAGAGTCTATTTTCTTCGCAACCGCTAAGTTTGATATCATTTTCTAATCTGAAGCACCGGCTCGATATTTTAAGGGGCATTTCGACCCTAATTCCACCCCCTCCCCCCCACCTCCCGCCAATCATTAGTCCAGTGGTCTAGCCCTTATATATTAGCTTTCTTATCGTCTTGTTCCCATGGTGATAGTCCGTGATTGATACTTGATAAGGCGTTTTAAAATTCGTGATGTTGCGATTAAAATATCGGTAAACGAGTATTTTGTGGGAAAAACACAATATTTAAGGCTGTGACTAGCCAACTAGTTAATAGTAAGACTGTTGAATTGTCATCTGCTACGGACAGTGATTGGCCAAGCACGGGCGAAAATGATGTTGAATTTGAAAACAAGAAACATGTTGACTGCAGTGAACAAACGGAAAAAAAATATTTTAATGATTCCAGTCATCAACAATTTTTTAGATGTTCAAAATTGTCAATTTGTAAAATTTAATTTCAGTTTAAGATTTTAGCTCTCAAAGTTTTCAACAGTTTCAGAAGGGTTTATACAAACTGAATAATCAGAAACAATTGTAAACAGTATTTTACCGTTATTTTTCAAGTTTTGTTTTTAACTTGTCTCCGTTTTGTTTATCTCCTTACCAAAACATATACACCATCTTAATTGGCGTTTAAAACTTATTATCTCAGGCCTCGTCCACAGTACACCCAGGGAATTTGAAAACGAAAGTTTCACTATGAAAACCTACAAATGTTTTCCGTCCACATTACGCCGGAGGAAATTAAAAACACAACAATCACCGGTCATTTTGGATTTGTGTTTGCCGAAAAAGCGGTTAGGGAAATTACCTGAATATCGCCATCGCTTTCGAAAAGCTCCGTTTTCTAAATGTCGATCCGTCCACACAAAAACAAAATGGCGACGTCAAATTCCTTCGGTTTGAAGAGCGTTTTCGAAAAAAAGCTCCTTTTTCAAAATGTTTTCCGTCCACACGAAAACGCACAGCCGGCATTTGCTAATTCTTCCGGTTCGAAGAGCGTTTTCGAAAAGCTCCGTTTTCGTGACCGATTAGTACGGACGGTAGGCCTAACCGTAGAAATAAAACTGCGTTTTTCAAATTTCGCCGGCGTAATGTGCACGGAATCTCAAGTATTCTACTGATATAGGTTTACAAATTAAAACATGCGGTGCTCCTCGTCGGTTAGTGACTGTGGATTTACTCTAGAGTTCTTGATTACAAATTTCTGGACACCTGTTTGCTCTTTTCCTAGTTTTCAACTGTTGATCCACGAATGTTTTATTGCTGCATACATTATACAACTGCAGGAACGGATGAAAAGAAAAACCTTTTCTTTTGAAAGGAAGTTATTTCGCTCAGACATTTATGAACAGGAAAAATATTTGCTGCTTTACATAGATTTTCGGAGTTTTCCTACACCACATTTAACTTTCATTGCTGTATGACAATTTCGAGGAGATGCGCTATTCCTGCCGACACAGAAATAAACTTAACCAATCCCCAAAATCTTAATTTTATGTTTGGAAACTTAGCTATGATCAAAGAAGAATACCGTCCTCTCTTCCCACCCCCTCCCCCTCTCCCACGACGGGTCTGAATGAGAAAGAAGTCTTTCCCCATCCCCCACCCCAGAGGAACAATAAAGCTCTTGCGAATTTATTATCCTTTTAACATTTTTTACATCGGCCCCATAAGCTATATAAGCTTTAAAACCCACCGCGTATAAATAAAGGATGTTGTTTTTGTTGTTCTTGTTGTTGAATACGAAGCACGAAAGAGCAAGAAAGGGGAGTAAAGTTAAGCGGCTTATTATGCAAGATGTATAAATATAGTTTTCTTCGAAAGCACTTTAGCCAAAATTAAACATCAAATTCCTATATATTAAAAACGGAAAACCACATTAGTAGTGGCTGGATGTTATAGATTCATGCGAACAATCTACTTAAGAAGGAAAAAAACCGTCTCACATCGAAAAAATTGCCCTGTAAGCAAGGTGAGACCCAGCAGGCAATGAGCCCAAATAACAAGGGCCTGGGAACGGGTTGCGCCAAGAGACTATGATCTACTTGGTTGCTCGCATAT